TTTGGGAACCACTAACATTCTTTCCTCTCCCAGCAAGCTCTGTGTTGTTCCCATTCTTGTAGAATTAGAGAAGTTATTTTCATAACTTTGAAAATGCTCTGGCTTCCTTATTTCTGCTGAGAACTCAACAGTAAGGGAGGACATCTTAAGAGGCGGGTTTAAGTCACTAACAACCGACGCTGAGGGACATTGCTGAGCGCTGAAACATACAAAGCGCCTTCAGTGCATTAAAACTGGTTTGTAGCAACCAAAACTCAGGGTATGTGTGACTAAGTATTGCATAAGTGACAATTTATAAGCATATCACTCATTAAGCTTAAAAACAATTTTAGATAAATGCAAAAATTAAAACACAGTATGTCACTATGGTTAAGGATTGTTGGAGCAAGTGTACCAACAAGCCACACGAGATTCAAGTCAACTGTTAAATTGCTGTCATATGCCATTCCTGTAACCTTGTGCAAAAAACTGCTTTTTATATTTGGATACCAGAATACCTTTAAAACCTCCCCTCTGCCCCCCTCGCCCCAATCCCCCCAAATTAGGTTCCATGAGGCAGATGGAGATAGTTTGGTTTCCCCAAATCTAAAAGGCCTCTTAATTTGACAAGGTTTATCCGTGTGGTTCTATATGGTTATAACAGCAGTGAATGTGTTGCCTTTTCTTGTTTCTTCCTAAACTATAAAAAAAGCATTTGTAAGGGCAGAAACACAGGGAGAGAAGAGATGAACAACAGAAGCTGGAAAGTAAATTACTTAACAGCTGTAGGAAGCAGAGTCCCAAGCAGGCAGGAGGGAAACAGAAAGCTAATTATTCTAAAAGGTGCAGCAATTGGCCAGTCCTGACCTCTGGCAAAGACATTCAAGTCTAGGCATTCAAATCCCAGATCCGTATTTCTATGCTGCACAGCTGGGCAGGAGCCCTCTTGGACGTTCGTCGTCTGGACAGGGTATAAATGGGCCTCGGGTGGAACTGGGCACCCCTGGGGGCTGGACTGCCTCTGTACGCTGTGTCCGTAAGCCCAGACCTCTGACCTCACCTGTCTCTGGACACTGGCAGGTGGCCCGTCACCTCCAGGCAGGATCTAGAGAATTCACTGACACAGGCTTGTTACCAGGCACCTAAGGAATGTCTCAAATCATGGAAGACACAGAACTCAGAAACAGAAAACAATTTGGAGAAAACACTCTCCAGAACTCGGTGAGAGGGCAATGCCCACCATTGCACGCTTGGCTTGGAAACTAAGTTGCAGAAGTGAAAAACAGACTTGGAATATGGAGCCCAGAAAGTAGCAACCATTTCAGAAACAGAGAAGAGGTGGGAGGAAATAAATGAAATATAGAGAATTAAGATCTGTTAACTTTAGCCAAGTGTCTCCTCTTCCGCATACTAAGAAAGTTAGAAGAAACTGGTGACAAGGTTGCAGGCACAGGCATGCCCTAGGTGAAATCTGGCGCCATTATTTAGGAAAAGCTTTAACTAGTACCTGGGACTACATTCAAGCAGATCATCCCACTGCTAGGTCATCTTTTAACATAACCCCTTTTCTATTGCCAATGCACACACTTAGCCTGTCAGTCACAATCATAATTGATCCAGTGCTAATTTTTTCACGAAGCCATCAATTACAAAGGCTGTTGACAGACATAAGCGATAGTATGGTCGAGTTAGAATTTGAAAAGGCCACTCACAATGGAATTGCTTCTGAAGCCCAAGTCCAGGACGACAGCGTGAGCATGTTGGGCAGAGAAAGCCTTCTGTTCATCGCCAATACAAATGTTTGCCACTTACAGTAAATCAAATCCAAACCCAAACCCTTCGACTGTGTAACGCTGAAGCCCGAGTGCCTTCACCCTGGAGTGGTTTCATGCTGCCCTACCTATAAGCCTTTCTGGGTGAAAATACGTAGTGATTAGGACACACGAAAGACCCACAAAATTCCTTCCGACACTTTAAGAGTAGGAACTACTACTTTTCAGGTTAGCTTTAACTTGCCCAAATGATCATACATAACCAGAATTTCTTCAAACTCAGAGCCCTTTCCTATTTCTGTCCTTTCCCTGCCCCTAATTAGCAAAGCTAGGAAAATGTTCAGCCCAAATGACCCATGACCCAAATCTTACTCACCCTAGCAGAGAAAAGGTCCCAGAAATCGTAGGTGGAACATCCTTTTGCTATAAAAGATACCTTATAGCTGGTAGCTTATTGGTTTAAAAATAGGTGATCAGCCTCCAGCAAATGGCTAGTAAAGACCAGAACTGGTTTTCCTCTCACTCCTGGGCCATTTTGAAGGCCTGGCCTGCGAACACCTGCCCCATACTTCCACTCTGCCTTCAGGCTGGACAAGAACTACAGTGACTTGAATATGGAAGACTTGTTATTTTCTGATTTCATACTTTGAAACCATTAAGCAAACATTCTTTGTTAGTCAAGTTGCTAACTAGAGTGAGGAAATTTTAACTCCCCCATTCAAGGACCAAAGAGTGTAGTGTGTTTTTTTTCAACCCAATATTTGCACTGAATGGTATATCTTCTGTGCTCATGATTACTTGGAATAACTAGAACAATTTATAAATTGTGTAAGTCTAAAATTGTTAGGCCAGTCAGTTAATGTGCCTAGAAAATGTGGCTGTGATATATATATGATTTTATCAAAATCTTCATTGTTCCCTCTGTAATGCCCAGCATCATTTTACCAAATTCAGTTTGTTGCTCTGTAATAAAATAAGATTCTGAAGTAATGCTTAGCAAGCTAATTTACAAAGCTGATATGAAATTTTAACTTTCACAATAGAAACCATCAAAATAAAACGTGAGGAGGAATAAAAAACATTTTATCTGTGTATTCAGAATCACACATGAGTTAACCTTTACAGTTCAATTTACTATATAGAAATCATTTGGGTTTTATATTCAGTTAAATTCTGAACCGAGATTACAATATTGTAAATTAAAAAAAGGTTGTTACATTAATTTAATACTTTTTAGCATACAAATTGAAATACATTAAGTTCAAACTTCAAATTTATGGCAAACAGTCTTCAAATACAATACAGACATTTCTTAGTTACCATATCATTTACATGTGGTTTTGTAACTCTTGAGCTGTTATACATAGAACAGCTCAATTGACACGCCATGAAGCTCAAGGTTGGATAGTCAAGCCAAAGACTCAAAATTGTGACATCTTTTAAAAGATCTGGCATTTGTGGACCAAAGCACAATATGCAAAAAGGGTTGGGAACAATTCCTCCTCCTTATTTTGGTTAAAAAAAGTTGCATGGTAGCTTGGAATTTTGCATAAAACCCCATATTATACCTCGGTAAAGTCCAAGGTATAAGATGACAATGGATTGGGGTCCTAAATTTTTTTATTAGTAGAACCCATAAAATTCAAATGGGCATTAATCAAATCAAAAAATATTAAGCACCTACTGGTTTAAGTGAAATTTATTGAGATTCATGATCAATTTCTTTCCACCTTGAAATCAAGGTGTAAAAACCAGCTATTAAGTGCATTCCAAACTTCTCCTATGTAGCACAGGTAGAATTTTCTGTCCATTGGCACCAAAGTGAAGTCACATTTCCTCTTGGGAGACAGAAATTCTACATCTGAACATAGATTAAGTTAGGAAAGTATGACCCCTGTTGTTTATTTTATTACTGTTATGATTCTGAAATCTAGTTTTACTAATACACTAGCAGTGAACAATGCAAATTCCTGGCAACAACTGTCAGATAAGTGACCCTAACTCCCTTCCCTCCCAATCACCATAAAATTTTAGTATGAAAACAATTAAAAGCAATAACTATGCTGAACGAATAGGGAAATAAGAAACTAATCGATTGGCTAATAACAAAACGAACCCCTAAAGTTTGAAATCACTGCAAACTGAGAAACTGGAAGTAGGTGTGACTCACGCTCGGCTCCTCACAACTCTGAAATTAAATAATATTCCATGCAAAAGAGTATCAGGTTTCTGGATATAGATGTAGCCCTTCTTTAAAGTTTTAGTGTGCTGCAGAGTTTTCTGCAATTTTTATCTTCCTCCCCCCCAGGTTAATCAGAGTATTTAATAGAATTGTCCATCTCAGCCAAAAGATTTGTGATTCAAAGGTTTACTAAGTTACTCTATGCATTCTATCTATACAGAAACACCTATTATTACAATTGGTTTATGCAGGATTAACATTTTTGGTGTTAAAATTGTTAAACATCATGCTTACTGCACATCAACTCTCCATGATGCATCTGAACTTCACAATGAAACATTTTATTTAAATTACTAGTTAAATAACTGAAATGTATGAGTCAAACTAAATTTAAGAGGGCTATAAAAGAAAATAACCTTCAAAACAGTCCATATACACATCTATTTCAAACTACCTTTGCTAGCTAGCCCCTTTCCCAAAGTTTTAGCCTGAAAAAGTAAATCTACACAAAATTTTATTGCAATCATACAAGGGTTACATTAGGTCAAATAAAACAAATACTATGATGCAATTTTACATTTATTAAACTACAGTTCAAAGCACAAATTTACACTTTCTAAATACACTAAACGTATCTAATGAAGTCACACTGGTCTTCCACTGACATCTGATATATCTGGGTGAAAGACATTAACTTTACAAGACTTTAAACACGAATCCTTAGTATAAAAACTGTGTACTTGTATGTAAACGATTTAATGGGGAACCCAATTAATGGGCTTCCATCTCCACTAAGTCATCCATTTTGTTGCATATTTTATTTTAAACGCTTAAGGGGCAGAACAAACTGGTAAGTTTAAATCTGGATACATCATCTAAATCTCACAATTAATCCCCAATGAATTATAGATGAAAGCTGTTTTTGTCTGGTCCCAAATAGTTATTACTAGTAGTTTGTTTCCAAGAGAATTAACAGAATAAGATTGATTGAATTTTTCCCACACTGGAATGTAGACCAGACAAGCTTAACCTGCAACTTCAGATCTAAAGAAGCGTTAATGCCTGTTCTAAGCTTCAGTGGAAAAACTGTCTTCTTGGCTCAGCTGGATGCAAGAAGGCACAAAGAAGAAGTTCTTCATCGTGTCTGAAGTAATCCCAGCATCTTGCATCTCATACCTAAAGAGAAAAAGAGAAGCACAATTCGGAATTTATTTATGCACAAAGATTACAGAACTACTTAATAGACAATAAAATATCTTTCAATAACCCTTAAAAGATGAACATTTTGCTATTATTTATATAAGTTATGCACTCATCACAAAATTAAATTTAGTGCCCAGCCAGCATGGCTCAGTGATTTGAGCGTGGACCTCACGGTTCAATTCCTGGTCAGGCCATATGCCCGGGTTGTGGGCTCGATCCCGTGTGTCATGTGTAGGAGGCAGCCGTCTCATCATTGATGTTTCTACCTCTCCCCCCCCTCTCCTTTCTTCTCTGAAATCAATTAAAAATATATATATTTAAAAAAATTGGCAAACATTCCGTCACCTCAAATATCTAATCTGCTTTAAAATATAAACACCTTACCAATCACTGAATGACATCATGAAGTAAATAGCTGGCCTCTGACAATCATTAAAAGCAGATGGTTCGTGCAGAGAATCTGCTCCCATGTTGTCAAAGATAAGCCAATCTCCCACGTTCAGCTCAGGAAGAAGACACTTTTCCACAATGTGGTCAAGCTCATCACAGGATGGACCCCAAAGGCTGCTTGTAAACAGAGGCTCATCGTCCTTGTATTTCTGTAGGAAAGAAAAAGTATTTTAAAGTTTAAGTTTTCACTCATGCAGGTATTGCATTTGAGGGTAGATAAGAGCATTTTTTACTATCTCAGATCCATCTTGCCATGAAAGGGAGGTCAGTAGAGCCCTTTATAAGTCCTTCATCTAAAGCAACAGACTAAAGCCAGAAGAATGCAGATCCTCAAAAAAGGGCACTAGTTCCTAACCTAAAGTACTTCTTCAAACCTAGGATACATCTTAAAAATATCAGCTCAATTTACAAACTGCCAAGTGAGCAGATTTAATATTATTTGTAATAGAACTTGCCTTGTGAACCTCTGGAATGGTATTTAAGTCCTCAGACAGTTTACTTGCAAAAGAACCATAAACACCATCATTCATAGAATACACAAAAGCTGGTTCATCACTTCCGGTTTTTTCTACTGAAATAAAGAGGAAAAAAATGAAGGTGAATTTCAGTAAAATGCCTCTAATAGTTATCATGAAATGCCTATCAAACACATTTAAAATTTATAGTACTGACTCTTAGTTTTAACATCCTATATAATAAAAGGTTAATATGCAAATTGACTGAATGGCAGAACAACCAGTCACTATAATGCACACTGACCACCAGGGGGCAGATGCTCAATGTAGGAGCTACCTATCTCCTGGTAGTCAGTGTGCTTCCACAGGGGGAGTGCCACTCAGCCAGAAGCTAGGCTCATGGCTGGCAAGCACAGCAATGGTGGCGGGAACAGGCCTAAGCCAAGGGGCCTGGATGAGAGAGGGCACAGGCCAGGCTGAGAAAACCCCACCCCAGTGCACGAATGTTGTGTTACCAGGCCTCTAGTCTCAAAATATTTAACTTAAAAAAACCCTACAGCCTAGCCAGTGTGGGTCAGTGGTTGAGCATGAACCTGGAGGTCCCAGTTGGATTACAGGTCAGAGCACATGCCAGGGTTGTGGGCTAGAACCCCAATAGGGGGCGTGCAGGAGTCAGCTGATCGATGATGTTTCTCTCATCGATATTTCTGTCTACCCCTCTTCCCTTCCTCTCTGAAAGTTAAAAAAACACCAACCCACAGATATGATATATACTGACATAACCTTAAACAAAACTGTTAGCCTAAAAAACATTTCACAAAGGAAAAGAACCAATGAACATATGAAAAAATGCTCTGTGTTATTCACCACCAGGTAAATACAAATTAAAAGTACAATGAGCTATCACCACCACACACCTATTGAATGGATAAAAGATAGGCAATGCAAAGAAAAAAAAAAAAAAAAAAAGGCCCTAGCTGGTTTGGCTCAGTGAATACAGCATTGGCCTGCAGACTGTGCCCATGCCCGGGTTGCAGGCTCCATTACCAGTGGGAGCTGTGCAGGAGGATAAAGGTGGGGAACAAGCAGAACCTGCATATAATTTACACTGCCAGAGGGAGAGTAAAATAGTAACACCACATTGATATCTCTGAAAACATCTATTCTATAACCAAACAACTCTATTCTTAATCATTTACTCAAACATCAACAAGATTTGTATAAGAATGTTGATTTATTCATAATAGCCAAAAACTGAAACTAAATATTCATTAGCAAGAGAATGTATAACTTGTATATTCACAGAATATTATCAATAAACATGAAACAAAATGGTCAATCAGATATACTGAGCTTTCTTGAACAAAAGAATATATGCTATATTAGCGGTTGCCAACTGGTGGTCTGTGGACCACTGGTGGTCTGTGAGGTCGGCAACCACTGTGCTATATGATTCCACTTATATGAAGTAAAAGTGGTTCAAATTAATCTGTGGCAGAAAAATAACCAGAATAGTATTTGGCGAGGGAACATAACTGAGAAAAAACAATTCTAAGATATGAAAATTATCTTTTGAAAGGGATATTACTCTATGTCATTAACTCAAGAAACATACTTAAGATTGTGCTCACTCTATGTCAAAAAACACCCCCAAACCTAAACAAATACTGAGACACTCTCACAGCTTTTGATACACAATTATGTTTATTAAGAACTCAAAGGTAAAAAGACTACCTTACTCTTGCTTAATTTGGGGGAGGAAACTATGGGAAGAAATGTCTCCTTAATGTAGAATAGTACCTTTCTACCCATTTTTTTTTTAAAGCGATACTTTCAGCCCTAGCCAGTTTGGCTCAGTGGATAGGGCGTCAGTCGGTGGACTGAAGGGTTCCAGAATTTATTCTGGTCAAGGGCCCATTCCTGGGTTGCAGGCTTGATCCCCAGTGGGGGCATGCAGGAGCCAGCTGATCAATGATTCTTTCTCATCACTGATGTTTGTTTCTCTTTCCCTCTCCCTTACTCTCTGAAATAAAAGTATTTAAAAAAAAAAAAAAATAGTGAATTTCGCTGAAACAGGTTTGGCGCAGTGGACAGAGCGTTGGTCTGCGAACTGGAAGGTCCCGGGTTCGATTCCGGTCAAGGGCATGTACATTGGTTGCTGGTGGGGGGTGTGCAGGAGGCAGCTGGTCGATGTATCTCTCTCATCGATGTTTCTGGCTCTCTATTCCTCTCCCTTCCTCTCTGTGAAAAATCAATAAAATATATTTTTTATAAAAATAAATAAATAAAAATAGTGAATTTTGAAAATAAACAAATGTGATACTTTTAGAATGTCTAGATTAAAAGGATTCCATTGGCCTTACATAATTTAAGAAAGTACAAGGCAGATTCTCCCTGTGACTCATATGACTGAAATCACACACAATAAAACGCTGCTTCTTAACAAATGGTGAGAATCACCTGGGGGAAGTGTATTTAAAATATGTCTAGCTCAACATCAGCACATGAGAGCTGCATTCAGATGTCTGGGGGACATTTTGAAAAGACCCCTGTCTATCTATAGTTGGCTGAAGACCACCCACCTATATAATCCATAAAATGTCCTACAATATAATTACACTAGAATATCTGATAAATTCATCTTCAAAATAACTGGGATTATCTACTAACAGAAGAAACTATAAACTTTGTAACTTACCTCCAGAGGAAAATTTATCACTTTCGACAACTTTCTTTGCAATGATATTAACTGCAAGTGTAAATGCAGAAGACACATAGTAGCTTCCAGGTTCTGAAATTATCTTAATGCCAGATCCTTCAGGAAAGTAGACATCCAACAGAGGGCTGATAACACGATTAACCTATGAATTTTAAATCCCACATTATAGTTTCAATATTGGATTAGACAATTCAAATTAAGCCACATTCCTGTCTAGTAACAAGGAAGCAAAATTTCAAATCAGTTTTTAAGTATTACAGAATGTGGAGGAGGACAGAGCAGGAAATTAAGGAATGACGTACACATGGATAAAATAGCTTAAGTTACCCAAGTTGTGAATCTGTGCTATTAAGCAGCTGTAAAAGCACAACAGAATAGAAACTTTTCTGTGGTAAAAGTTATTATGATACAGAGGTTTAAAAAATTATTAAACTTATCAAAGTTAGTTAGGTCTTCTCATTGCCTGCTTATTTTCTGAGAATCAAATTTTAAACATATCACAGGCTTTTATAGTTCCTGACACTGTAAAACCCTAGACTACTTACTCATCTACCACCTAAGAAGCAAAGAGAGATTATTCCAGCATGTCCATCCACTGAACAGCTTACCTCTTCCAATTGAAATTCAGTTCCTGTGAAGCCTCCTCCAATGTCTAAGATGTTCATTGTGAAGCCAAACTCTCCCTAGAGATGAAGAATAGGAACATTTTGAAAACCCTCTCCCAAGCTGATAAAAATATCTGTTCTGACATTGAATACAGCAAGTTTTTTGGTTCATAACAGAAGCAGGTTAATTAAATGTTATATATGTTAGCTTCCTGATGTTGTCCATACTGTCTTGTAGACAAGTAAATCACTAATTCTTTCACCCACTTTTAAAATGAACTATACGGAACTTTGCTTAAAACGTAAAAAAATAAGTAAGGTGTGTGTCATAAATATGAGAGTACTTCAGAGATAGGAGTGTTTTCCTAACAACTTGATATAAATATTAAAATTCAAGGAAAAAACTTACAGCCATGTCAAACACACATCGAGCATCAGATAGAGCATGTACGTATACTTGAGATTCTTTGCAAGCACTTGAAACATGAAATCTGAAAGAAATAAAGTAATAAATATAAAGCAGCAGCAAATTTTAGCGACCCTTCCTGTCATTCCTTTCAATTCTCATTCACCATATTGACACAATTAAGTATTTACCTTAGCTTTAACTAACAGTTCAAGTATTAAAAGCCCTAACCTCTAATTATCAAGTTACAACACTTAACAGTAAGTTATCAGTCATGATCCATGAACTATCAAATTGGGAAAGGGAAAGTTCCTGCAGATATTGGTAGAGTAAAAAGTTCCATCAATAAAATTGGGCCACAAAAACCATTTTATCGGATAATATATAAAAGCATGTCTATTGTGAAATACAAATGAACATTAATTCACCTGAGTATTACATACTTAAACTTGTTAATATTACTTAAGTGACAGATTTAGAAAAGAATAGTTAAACTTAACTGAAGTATGATTTTGTACTCTGATTGTGGCAGTGATTACATAAATCTGTTAAAATTCGTATTTACCTCCCTAAAAAAGATAATTTCCCCTCTGTTAACTTAAAAAATAAAATTGAGCCGAAACCGGTTTGGCTCAATGGATAGAGCGTCGGCTTGGGGACTGAAAGGTCCCAGGTTCGATTCTGGTCAGGGGCATGTACCTTGGTTGCGGGCATATCCGCAGTAGGGGGTGTGCAAGAGGCAGCTGAGATATGACTCTCTCTCATCGATGTTTCTAACTCTGTATCTCTCTCCCTTCCTCTCTGTACAAAATCAATAAAATCTATTTTAAAAAAATAAATAAAATTGAGTTGAAATGTGAAAGCTCTCACATATATGTCAATGCTGTCATCTAAAGAAGTGAATAACAGTGATGATTCTTTGTTCATCTTTAAGAACAATTTAAAAAGCAATATCTTGTACTGTAGTTGACTAGCAATGGAATGGCAACTCAGAAAATTAGATGGGAGAGAGCAGCACAAAATAGTATGAAGGATAAAACATATTTAGTTTTTTCCTACACTAAGAAGGTTAAAAAAAAAAAAATATATATATATATATCTCACAGATAAATAAAAAAATACTCACTTAACCCCAATAATTTGGACATCAAGTTCCTTAGCACATTCCAAGATATGCCTACAGTTCTTCAGGGTAGCGCCAAACTTCATGTTACCCTCTTCATCTCCAGTATTATCTTCCGTTGCAATATGTAGTAAGACCCTAAGAGAAGGGGAAGATGATTGGGGCAGAGTTGGTTTACATCATCATCAGCACATGTGAAGCCTGAAGATTGTAGAAATTGTTTTCATTATGTTGTCAGTGTTCCCAAATCCAGCGACGGATGAATCAAGTGAACCTAATGAAAAACAATCCTGTATAGAGAAAAAACTAGCAATTAGGGCCTAAAGCACGAAGCTTAAAAGAATGGAATTTGGAAATAGGAAGTTAAAACTCTGTTGTAGCAGCAAGGGTAGGTAGGGCTCTGTAATGAAAGACATTACTTTCAAATGAAGTCCATCAGTCCATAAATCCACCTGGAAAGACTAAATTGAATAGCAATGCCATCATTTTTTCAGGAAAAATATTAGGGTTTCAAATTTCTAAATTATTCTAGCCACTAACTTTCCACCCACTTATTCTGAACATTCCTCCTATTAATCTCTTATATCTAACAAAAATTTTGGGAAGCTTTCAGTTATTTTATTTGTATAAAAGGTTTTAGACTACCTTGACAATCTAGAGAAAATGATCATAAGGTATTCAAATAATTACAAAACCACTAAAACTGCAAATACACAAAAACTGTGTTGGTGAATGACTGATGATGAATGGGCAAGTCTGATAAAAACTAAATTGTTCTATCGATGGGTAGAATAAATTCTAGCAAAAAATATACCATTCTATTTACAATTTAACACAGTAAACATTCCATCCAAATCAGGGCATATCTTTAGAAGATCATGAAACAGAAATTTTTAAAGAGAGTTCTCTAGAAAATTTTCTGAAAAAGCCCAAAGGTTTTTAGGGTAATCAATCCCATCAGGATGCCTTTCTCAGGATAACATTAACATCATTATAAATATACCAGGAAAATATGGATGATACACATTTCCAGGAACATATAACTCATTCAAAGTAAGCAAACATGCTTAGCCCACATGGCTCTGGTTGAGCATTGACCTCTGAACCAGGAAGTCACGGTTCGATTCCTGGTCAGGACATATGCCTAGAGGTTGTGTGGCATGCAGGAGGCAGCCGACAGATTTTCTCTCTCATCACTGATGTTTCTCGCCCTTCTTCTCTGAAATCTATTTTTAAAAAATGAAAGCAAGCAAATAATTGGATTGAGCGTCGGCCTGCGGACTGAAAGGTCCCAGGTTCTATTCCGGTCAAGGGCATGTACCTTGGGTGCGGGCACATCCCCAGTAGGGGGTGTGCAAGAGGCAGCTGGTTGGTGACTCTCTCTCATCGATGTTTCTAACTCTCTATCCCTCTCTCTTCCCCTCTGTAAAAAAAAAAAAAATCAATAAAATATATTAAAAAAAAACAAAACAAAACACCTATACTAAGTATATATGAACTCCTCTTGAGACTATTTTTTGCCTAAAATTTTTGTTTTTTTAAAAATATATTTATTTCTTCATTGATTTCAGAGAGGAATGGAGAGGGAAGGAGAGAGAAAAACATCAGTGACGAGAATCAATGATTGGCTGCTTTTTCCAAGCCCCCTACTGGGGATCGAGCCTGTAACCAGGGCATGTGCCCTTGGCCAGAATCAAACCTGGGACCCTTTAGTCCACAGGCTGATGCTCTCTCCACTGAACAAAATTGGTGAGAGCAAAACTTTTTGCTTTTAAAAAGTAAATTTTTTAATTTATAAAACAATCTTGGAATGCAAAGTAAAAAAAAAAAAAAAAAATCACACTTCCTTTTCAAATAGAAGTGTAAATTTTAAAGAGATCCCTTAAATCATTAAGGACAACCATTCAAGAGCTATAGCCAAGGGCAGAATATATCCTTAGCTAACCGGGGGAAAAAAGCTGACCAAAATGCACTTTGTTTCTAACATGACATAACTAGCAGGATTAATGTGGTTATATAAATATAGCTGTGGCCCTAATTTTTATCCCAACCTAAAGTTAAAGATTACAAGCAAATAAGATAATCTACCGAGGTACTAAGTTTTACACTTACTTGGCATTTGGATGATTACGTGCAATTTTCTTCAATTCGACTTCACTGTCACAGGTCATAATGTTCACTCCAACTTTTGCTGCATACTTTATCTGAGACACTTGCTTGCAAGGACTTATGTAAATGATGTTTTCTGGAGATACTCCCAATTCCTGCACTAAAGCCATTTCAGTCTGTAAAATAGATGTTAAACAGTGTCATCTAAAAGGCAAATTTCCTATTACTTTTCATTCAATTACTACCATATATATATGTGTGTGTGAAATTTTCAAGTTATAAGAAGTTAAATTTGTATTACATAATGCCACAGTACATATTCTGGTAACGCTTACTATACTATCCTGGATTAAAACTTTTAAAAAGGTATAATTACTACTGGAGAAATTTCTTAATTTAGAATAATACTTGTCATCAGAAGTAACTTGATCTAGGCCATGTCTAGCCTAAGAATGAGGAATAGCCCTAACTGGTTTGGCTCAGTGGGTATCGAATGTCGGCCTATGGACTGAAGGAACCCAGGTTCAATTCCGGTCAAGAGCATATACCCAAGTTGGGGGCTCAATCCCCAGTGGGGAGGATTGGGGGGGGAATGGGGGGGATAGGAGACAGTCAATCAATGATCTCTCTCATCATTGATGTTTCTATCTCTTTCTCACCTTTACTCTATAAAATCAATAAAAATGTATTTAAAAAAGAGAGGGAGTGAGGGGAAAAAAAGTGTCAGTTAAAGATAAAGAGAACTTTTAAAGGTCTCATTTCACTGAAACTTTCCTTTCGTTGATAGCACACTTAAAAAGTTGGTCAATTTGCACTATTAGGCTGCAAATTTAAACAAGAGTTTTTAAAAAACCTAAATTTTCTTGAAGTTTTTCTCCACCTGTTGTGGGTAACCAAAAGTCAGAAAGTTAACTTTTTTTTTTAATTAAATCATTATCTGTGTACACACCTTACCATCCCTACTCCCCCATACATACCCTCCCTCCCCAGAGTTTTGTGTCCATTGGGTGTACTTATATGCATGTATACAAGTCCTTCGGTTGACCTATTATTTCCCCCACAGAAAGTTAATTTTAATTTTTTATTTTTTTAAAATATATTTTTATTGATTTTTTACAGAGAGGAAGGGAGAGGGATAGAGAGCTAGAAACGTCGATGAGAGAGAAACATCGACCAGCTGCCTCTTGCACCCTCCCCTACCGGGGATATGTGCCCGCAACCAATGTACATGCCCTTGACCAGAATCGAACCCGGGACCTTTCAGTCTGCAGACCGACGCTCTACCACTGAGCCAAACTGGCTTCGGCAGAAAGTAAATTTTTTTTTTTTTAATATATATATATATATATATATATATATATATATATATATATATATATATATTGTTGATTTTTTACAGAGAGGAAGGGAGAGAGATAGAGAGCTAGAAATGTCAATGAGAGAGAAACATCGACCAGCTGCCTCTTGCACACCCCCACCAGGGATGTGCCCGCAACCAACGTACATGCCCTTGACCGGAATCGAACATGGGACCTTTCAGTCCGCAGACTGACACTCTACCGCTGAGCCAAATCGGTTTCGGCAGAAAGTTAATTTTTAAGTACTATACTTTAATGGCAAAAATCAAGAAAAAATACTTACTTTACTCGAACAAGCAAATCCAGTTCCAAGAGCTGCCAAAATCTCCAGTACAGCTGGGGTAGAGTTGCACTTTACCATGTAGAATGGCTTGATCTGAGCCACTACGTTCTGCCACTGACTGTGTTTCTTCACAATCTTTCCAAGATCTCCCACAAAAAATGCCTTCTTCCCTGTCTATGTTCATAAAAAAAAAAAAAAAGAGAAATAGTCACACCTACTGAAAATAGAGTACCAATGAGTAGGAAAGAACTCCCTTTTTCCTCCACAAATGAGCCAAAACATGTATTATTTATACACTACATTTAAGGCTTATGGAAGAATTAAGCTAGATCTATAATGATTTTAAAAAACTGTGCCTACTCCTAGGGTAGAGATGATTGTGCACGTCAATGAGAAAATGTTGGTTGGCAGATAAAATAATCTTATTTAGAATATACAACATCCAAATACTGTTTTAAAAGCCATGAAGCCAATATTACTGCTTTCTATGTTAAACATATTTTTGAAAAAAAAAAAAAAAATATGTGTACTACTGAAACATGCCAAGAAATAGACATGATTGGAAATCATGGGCTATGAGTGGCAGATATGAGAGAGTATTTTAAGTACCAGCAAGAGAAATAAGATATTAATATTTAGTTGTAAATCAACCGTCAGCCATACAATTAAATAAAATCATTAAGAGAGCAGTTATTTACTAAATGTGGGATGTTTGAGACTGTAAATAAGAACAGATGAAAAGAGAATGTCAAAGACCATGAGAGATCAACTGAAGAGTGAGGAGAATCATTTTTTGGTTTTATTTTTCTCTATTTACCTACCCTTAGAAGAACAAGTTTTTTCCATCCTATTACTGAACACTGGTAACATGACAACAATTCAAAAAATTTGAGGAATATGGGAAATTAGCTCCAATAAAAAAGCAAATTCTATCAGTAAGGTGATAAACAAAAATAATTCTACCAATAAGCACAAAATAAAAATAAATGATCTTAAGTAGTCACGTGTATGACTTTATAGAAGCTGACACTAGGGGCAGTAGAGTGTAAGCATTTAATGTAAACTATCAATTCTCAATCCACATACACCAGATTATCTGAAATGTAAATGAAGATCTAGCCCTGGTCAGTGCAATTCCACTGGTTACAGCTTAGGCCTCCAGCACTGCAGGATGGAGGGTTCAATTCTCAGTCAAAGGCACAGCAGGGAAAGGGCTATCAGGGTGCATGTTTTTTAAAAATGCGGGCTGGAAAGAGAACCTCATTCCCATTCAAGGGCAAAGGGTAGTGTTAAGGCAACCTAGAAAAAAAGACAACCTGGAAAAGTTAACTTTTGAACAGGTCCTTCAGTAGATTGACTTCTTGGAAATAAAGCATTGGTATTTTAGAATTCAGAAATGTGAGAGAGCGCACTTACCAGGGTATGTTCATTAACATAGTTATCAATAACATCTCCAAGGTTTGTTCCTTCATCCAACAGGCCAACGAAGTAGTTTGCATCGTCAATAAATCCTTTCATCTCAGCCGTATTCCACAAAGCCGAAAGTCATAAACCAGGAAAAACAAGAGACGGGCCACCAATCCTTATGTATGGGTCCTTAGAATATGCAACAAACTGTCAAAACAGAAGTTATTTAAACATTTATATTATTTCAGTAGGTAACCTTATATTATTTCAGTTGTCAACGAAAGTGTGCTAAATGCCTAATTTAATGAAGACTCTGTATGATCACTCACCACTTTCAGAAACATTAGAGTGCCCATTAAAAAGTGTGTACTTTATATATTTTTATATAAAGCTTGATATTTAGAGAAGATAATCCACACATATGCAATTTATTTATTACAAGTCAATATGGTCACCTTATTTACATAGAGTTGCAGACTCAGACTATATTAATCATCATCTTGTTTTATAATTATTCCATAACACAATTTACTGATTTTAAGTGAAGAAAGCTTATTAAGTATCTACAGCCAAAAAATTAAAATACTGAGTTTCAATATATTGCCAGCCAGATAATATAGCATGCTACCAGGTAACTCAAATAAGTGTTCTCTAAATAAAATTGTAGAGTAGATGAAAGGTAATAGAAGTCAATGGAAGTGAAGGGTGATGTAAGAGGAAATTTGTTACAGACTGACTAGGTAAGGTTAGCAACATATGTGTCTTATGAGGTGATTGATTAACTGATCTAGAAGTCAGAAGACCTGGTCCTGGCCGTGTCATTTAACAACTTTGCAATCCTAGGTCATTTTCTCTAAATTTTTAAAAAGAAATATATTTTATCGATTTTTTACAGAGAGGAAGGGAGAGAGATAGAGAGCTAGAAATGTTGATGAGAGAGAAACATCGACCACTGCCAACGTATATGCCCTTGACCAGGGACCTTTCAATCCCTAGACCGAAGCTCTACTGCTGAGCCAAACCGGTTTCGGCCATTTTTTCTAAATTTTAATGATCTTTAACTACTTCCTCAAAACGTTGTAGTTAGAGCTAAAATTAAGTTGTCAATTGCCAGAAACACAAAAATGCTATCGTAATTCAAAACCTGGTATAAACTAAGTTCATCTGTACATCCTAAACCATTTGCTGATAACTGATTTTTAAAAAGGCACTGGAGCCCTGGCTGGTGTGGCTCAGTTGTTTGGAGCGTTGTCCTGTATACCAAAAGGTTGGCATACAACAAAATTTCTACCAATATGTACAAAATAAAAATAAATAATCTTAATTAGTGGTCAATGAGTCTAAAGAAGTCGACACTAGGGGCAATAGAATGTAAGCATCTACACTAATAAGAGAAAGATGCAAATTGACCACCAGCCCATCAGGAGTATGCAAATGAACCCAATAAAGATGGCTGGTTAATTTGCATATGCAGGCACCAAGTGGCCAGGGGCAGGGCGAGAACATAGGCATTCCGCACCACCCCAGCAGCTCTGGGCTGGAGAAAAGGCAGAAAAGTGGCTCCTTGCCAGAGGGAAGGCAATGCAACATCCAGGGGAAGGAAGGCACATTCTTGCACGAATCTTCATGCATCGGGCCTCTAGTCTATACTAATAAAAGGGTAATATGCTAATTAGACCAGGAAGACTTTCCAGACAAAGCCATGGTGGCAGGGCTGAGGCACAGGTGGTTAAGAGCGATCAGGCCAGAAGGGAAGGGCAGTTGGGAGCAAGCAGGCCAGCAGGCAAAGTGGTAAGGGGCAATTAGGCAGGCAGGCAGGCAGTTAGGAGCCAGTGGTCCCAGATTGCGAGAAGGGTATCTGACTGCCAGTTTAGACATGTAAGATTGGGCCTAAACCAGCAGTCGGACATCCCTCAAGGTGTCCCAGATTGGAGAGGGTGCAGACTGGGGCATTAGTTCAATATAAATTGATTCTTGGTCAGGGCACATACCTAGATTGCAGCTTGGATCTGTCAGGAGACACATGGAAGGGTTCTCAGTCATATAATGTTTCTGCCCTCCTCCCCCTTTCCTAAAACCAGTAAGTATATCCTAGGTGAAGATTAAAAATATCCTACACATTCCCATATAATAATGAGTTAATATGCAAATAGTCATCACGCCCTCACGCCGGGGCTGGGGGACCTGAGACTATGCATCCATCCTTGCCTAGCATGGCTAGATGAGGAACCAAGGCTGCACCGGTCCTCTCCCAACCCCCAAAGCTTGACGGAGGGCAGTTAGGAGCCAGAGGTCCTGGATTGTGAGAGGAATGTCCCAGATTGGAGAGGGTGCAGGCTGGGGCCCTCCACTCCATGCACCAATTTCATGTACCAGGCCTCTAGTACTGACATAAACATATATCTTTTAAGCTGAATTCACTGGTCCTTAGTTTACTTTAAGCAAGGATTTGTGTATTTAACATGAAGTTCACAAACGAAGACTACTCATTGTCTTGTACAGATTTCTGGTTGCCACATTAACAATGGGCATAGATCAGCCCTTGGCCACCCACTTTACAATTTGCACAGTCTTTCTTGAGTCTTCAACCCATTTTCCTACCGCCAACCCTGTTCTACCCTAGGTCTTCACCATGGTGATGGCCCTCATCCTAGAAGCGTACTCCAATGGTTTCCCAAGTGTCAGCTTTCTGGTTGCACCAAAACAAACTCATCAATAAGTCATAATACTAGTCAAATTTCATGAAATACAAACAATGCTTAGTTTTAAAATTTAAACACCAACAACTAAGAAGTCAATTCCATTCAGTTTAGGTCAGTGGTCACCAACCAGTGGTCCATGAGGTCTGAAAGGTTGGCGATCGCTGGTTTAAGTAATCAAATCTTTCTGAAATAGTAGAAACTGTAAAGGTGAGAATATTTTTATTTTACCAAGGAAGTTAATAGGGCATATTCACAAGAGATCTCATACCTATGCAGTAAGTCAAATGGTAGTCTGAACATTCTCTGAAGTTTGTTATAATAGGACTGATATAAATCTGTGCCCAAAAAGTAATACATTTTAAGCTTGAGGTTACATGTTTATTTTAAGCAATGTAACTCTAGCTAAAGCATCATTTTAGGGAGATAGTCAACTATGCACTAAGAGAAACAGAAAATATAAAGGCTACTCATTCAAAAAGTTCAATGGAAAGGTTTAAGTATAAAAAGAGTACATAGAAACTTCCTGTTAAATTATACCACAAATCTTTCTGGCAAGATGGCTTTCATTTACTCTATTAACAATGAAAAATAATTTAACCAAGGTCTTTACCCTAATGTTTCAGCTCATGTGACTCTTCAGTATGCTCTACTGCTTTTATTTTTGTTAATCCTCACTGAAGGAAATTTTTCCATTGATTTTCACAGAAAGTAGAAGAGAAGGGGAGAGACACAGAGAGAATTATCAGTGTCTGATATGGTTGCCCTCAGCACATCCACAACTATTATAGTTATATTCTTTGACTAGAATCAAACAAGGGACCCTTCAATTCACAGGCAGATGCTCTAGCCATCGAGCCAAACTGACTTAGGGCTATTCTACTATATATATATAATATTTACTTGGGAATCTTGGGTTATCAATTATCGATCACTACAGGCAATTGCTACTAAATTCCAACAATTCTAGCTTTAGAGTCAGGACAAGATGAACCTTAGTTTCTTATAGCAATAGTGCTTAGGGAAAAGGTAATTTTCCTCTGTCAGTACTTACAAAAGATCAGGCCTATTCCAGGCAGTCTTTTCTGCTAAATGCCCATATTCTTCAGAGCTTTTCCTATAGTATGCTCAGAGATAAGGAAGTCCCTCCCCCCAAACTATTTTTAAACTACACAATCTTTATGTCCCAACACTCACAGCCTGCTAAACTAGCTTAAATGTAACAGCAAATGGTTTTTTACAGCAGTATGCCAGGCGCTGTTTTAAGTACATTATCTATCTAGTATCAAATTTCTTAACCCTTAAAACCACTGTGTTATTAACCTCATTTTACCTTTGAAGACACTGGGGCACAGAATAACTAATTAGGCTATCTCTAGAATGTTGATCAAATCATGTTTAAAATAAAAGGAAAAATCTGTCTCCTCAGCACACAGGATTCCTTTCCGGGAAAACAACTGACAGTTTCTTTATTAGAGTTTTAGCATACTCCCATAACCTATTGACCATTTCTCAGACTAAATCTCTATAGTTGTTAGTCAATGATTAAATTTATTCAAGTTTGGTATAAAAACATCCTATCACACCTACTCATTCCTAGCCTTTTAAACTTTCTTCATATAAATATTTTCTACATTTTAACCTTGCTGGCTGCTCCTTTTTTTTGCCTAATTCTCAGGTAAAACTCAAAATTATTTTTTTCCTTTTTTATCCACCTTATCAACAGTTTGCATATAACGTGTACCCAATTTTGACAAATGTGTACACCCCCTGCAATCACCACTACTATAAAGATAAATTCCCTCATGTCGCTTTTGTAATCATTCCTCAATTCCACCTCAAAAAACATCAAAAGAACTAATGGACTACTGTAAACACACTTAGAACACTAAAAAAATACAGGCCATTAATATTATTTAATTTACATAATTATTCCTAACCCAGAGTAGGTTGCTCAGAAACAGATGGGACAAAGGATCTCACAACTCTTTAAACTTAGCAATGGTGGTGACAGCAATACACTCTCTTGAAGTGTGTTGAAAACCTAAAAGGAGCCCAAAACCTTGATTCACAAGTGACCCATACGTAAATGTAAACCTCAACTGTCAGTTACTGTTAAACACTAAAAGGTTTGCCCGGTGAAAACTAATTCCTCAAAATAAGCTGCAAAACACAAAAACCTCCAGGAGGGAAGTTTTCAATACATTTTGAGCCACCAATGCCTTTTGTTTTCAAACAAAGTGTCACTTTGGAAGCCGCCTACTTCCAAAACTGAAGAGGCTTACGTATAGTTGGATAAGGGTGGGCTGATGTCTTTCCTACCCCCAATCTCACTGAAGGATTCCTTAAAAAGTAGGGTGTTTTTTTTTTTTTTCATTGTAATACATTTTTATTGATTTCAGAGAGGGAGAG